GCTGCCTTCTGAAGAGAAGTCTAGAAGATGGATGTTAAAATCTGTCCAAGGTTCTAATGAAGCTATGGAATAAAGAGCTTAGGGATCATTCAGCAACTTCTATTTTATGGAACTATGGAAACTAAAAATTAAAAACATGAAAGGAAGACTGTAAGAGTTGTAAGAGTGCATGAGGAATGTTGGCAAAAGTATGAAATAAAACATATACAGCTGTGTTGAGAAAAATACTTAACTCCGTTTTAAATGCCATGAGTCATTAGGATGTTTCAAAAGGCAAAAACCAGAATGGTTTGGTTTTCTGGAAAAAAAGAAAAAAAGAAAAAAAAGAGGAGGAAAACTGTCGCAGTTAATCGTAAGCTGTTTTTAATTATAGGAGTATGCTGCACTTCTGCTGAGGTGCAGTCCCTGTGCTCTTAAATCCACCAGTTTAGGATTGTGCAGGTACACATGGAAATGGAAACACAGCTAATCAAAAGCTTCAGAGTTACACGGGGGGAGTGTAGGAAGGTTGGAAAGGGAAGTGTGGAGGATTTGGAACAACTGGGCCTATGCTAGTTCATGTGATTTTAGAATCTTATTTTGTTAAGACAAGGTGCCAAAGACAAGTAAGAAAAATGACTTTTTCGTAATTCAAGAGTTATGTGAGCTGGTAGGCTGGAAGAAAAGAAAGAAAATCTCTTCATGTTTGGACAGTATAGCTATTTTTCCTATAAAGCTGAGCACATATAGAAAACTGAGCTGTGCAGTGTAATTAAAATTGAGGAATACTGCATCTAATTTAGCGATGCTAGTCTGATCGGTGAGTGAGAGCAACACATGAAAGACACAACTTTGTGAAATGAATGGTTTCCTGGATGTGATAAACCACTTGTACTTTCAGTGCGAGGCAGAAAAATGGATACAGACTTAGGGAGCTGTGATGGATGGGTCTTTAAAAGCCTCCCAGTTTTGGGAAAAAATAAATATTTATTTTACTAACCTAGACGGAGATGCGCTAGCCAGTCCAGTGTTTAAATTTATGCCTGCATTACACATCTTAGAGTTCTGTAAAGAGCTACCTGAAATGGCTGTAAATGAGTAAGCCGGGCAGTGGAAACAGTCGTAGTAAGGAACTCGACAAGCCCAACTTCATCCTGTTTAAGAAAATTCTGTTTTGAATTCTTTGTTTTCCTTTTCTGTTTGTGCATGTTAAATTATCAGTGCAGGATGCAGGGAAATTAGCAGATTATAAGGGTGCAATTTTGTTGGATGTGATGCCGCACATCCAGCGTGTTGAATATGATGCCACTGGGTGACTATTCAGTAACAAAGCACTGCATCCCACCCTGTCAGGTTCCTTGTTTCTGCTTTGCTGATCTGAGCTGAGCTGCTTGCTGTAATATGACATGAGATGCAGCACTGTGTTTCTAGCAGCAGGCTTGTTCATCTGCTCGCAGATGGAGTTCCCCCTTCTCTTTGTGGCATGGGCTGGGCATTTTGCAGAGAGGATGCTGTAGACAGGCACAGCAGTCAGGATTTTAATCCTTTTCCTAACAAAACTCAATGTAAGTCTGCAGAAAGTTGACGTAGCTTGTCTGCTAGGCTTTCTGCAGTAGTTGTTTTTTATTTCTGCTGTGAAGTAGTTCTTAAATGTAGTGCAAACCAGTGTGCAAAAGGTGTCTGATGCTTTCCATTGTTTTACTGAGCTGTTTCCCAGTTTACCTCCTGGCTAGTGGCATGGAGATACAGCTCAGCCCATTTGCGTGAGAAGGAGAGCACGGGACTGGTCTGGATCCAACCAAAGTAATCAGAGAAACTTGAAGTAAGAGCACCTGACAGATTCAGGGTTTCCTGGGTGGGATATAGCCCTTGAAATCCCCTCAAGAGAGTTATATTTTGTATTTCAGGGACATGTCTTTCAATGAATCCTCTCATTTGCACATTGTTCTGTAGTATGAAATGCTAAATGGACAATCCACCTGCCTGTTTCACAAGGAGGTCAACATTTGATAACTGCATTAAAATTGGCCTTTCCTAAATCCTCTCTCACCACAATCTTTGCCGTCCCTCGCAATTTTCCTATGTTCTAATGCTCCACTGTGGAGAAAATGCTGAGTCTTTTGAGATTATTTCCAAACTGTCACCCACAACAAAGCTATTTTGTTTTTGTTTTGGACTGTTTCTTCCTCAAAAGCACATGAATAGGTATCACAGATATGATACCACGTGGGAAAAATGTCTTTTTTTTCTTTTTTTCATGCTCATGCAAAACTCTTTTTTCAATTATCCTGAAAAAAAAAAAATCCCAACATTTTGGGCTTGTGAAAATGCCGTAAAGAATACATTCAAAATATTTAAATGTATTTGTAATCTAATTCTCCAGCCTAACATCCAGTTCGTTTTCAATGTGGCCTATCACTTCTGGTGTGACATTACTGAAAACCTTCTGATTAAAGCCAGCTCTCTTATGCATACTTTACCTCTGTGACCTATGAGTAGCTTGAAACCATTTGAACTCCGTCTAAATTGGATCCCCCTGGTTGTAAGTGTTACTGCGTGTCAGTTCTGTGTCAGTTGGATGGAAATCTTGCTGTAGAGGATGAAAGTTCACAGCTCAGTATTAATCTACTGGGCAAACTACATCTAATGCCTTCAGTTTTCTTGAAATACAGCTGCTGATGACCTCTGACAGGTAAAACACACTATAGGATTTTCTAATATTCATTTTTAGTATAGGTATTTAAAAAGTGTCATGTATCCTTCTTCTGTGCCAAATAAAGAAGAGGCAAAATTAAGAATAGTGACGAGTAGGCGATCGGAAATGGAGACTTCTGTTAATAAAATACGTCTGAGTCCATTACTACAGAATTGTCTTGTTCTCAAAACAGAACGTGCAAATCCTGGCTTCAGTAGAGGAAGCTGTGTACCACTGAGCTGCTGGCTGTGATTCCCCTGATGTCTGTAGGATGAAACATTCAAACTGGTGTGTGAAGAGGAGCTTAACAAAGGAAAAAAAAAATTCTGAACCTGCATGGCTTCTGGAGCAGGCAGCATAAATCATTGCGTGCTGGTGGGGTCTAGCCTTAACTCACAAATAAGAACTAATAATTTAGCACCAGAAACTGTTTAAAAGAAAACCTGTAGAGTTGTGTAAACTGGGTGACACCATTATCAACATCTCTGTTACAGTGCAACACCTTGGCTCTGTCAGCATTAGGGAGTCTTAAATTGTAAGTACATTACATTTGGGTTTGCTTTTGAAGTGACCTTTTTTGTACGGAGAATTCCAAGCTAAAGCAAAAGTTTAATGGGTGCAGGTTTGTAAGTTTGCAACTTGATCTCACTTTTGTTTAAACTAATGGTAAAACCTCTGCTTCTTTCAGTAGGAGCAAGATTTAAATATTTAGTTAGCATCTGAAAGGAAGCTGATCTTGTATTCCTTGCAAATCCCAGATTGTCTCTGAAAACAGTGGGGTTTGGCAAGAGGAAAGAAGTCTAAGATTTAGCGCTGGTTTATGGTGGGATAATGATGACACTGGGAGGGACACTTTTAAGGCACTAAGCATGGATCAGATTCAGCTTTCTCAAAGCCATGTACCAGTCCTGTTGCCTTAAAGAGTGCTTTTGCTAGGTCTGAACTGGAGCCTTGGCTGTGAGAGAAACCTGTGTTTAAAAGGAAAATGTAGTCTATGGAGTGTGTTCCTATTTTATAGTATCTTTTGAGCCCTTTCAACTCCTCTTACTCCCTAGCTACAAGTGTGTCGTTACAAAGCACTGTAATTCGGTAAGTCAGAGAAAGTATCTTGTGTGACTCTTCCCATCCTTGTTCCCTCTCAGGGAAGAACAAAACAACAGTAATAAACCAGTATAGGTATGGCCTGAGGTGTTTTAAAACACCACCTCTTGGATCACTTCTTGGGCAGTTTACGAGCATGTTTTTATGTGGTTTCCATTTTGAAATCCAGATTTTTTAAAATCCTGAGAGCCTGACTCCTTTTTCTGTGAGTCACACAAAGAAGTAGGTTTTGGATTCCAACATGTGGAGAATCCAGAGTCCAAAACCTTGGAGATCTCTCCTGCCAGAGGCTCTAACACCTGCTATCAGAAGGGAGCAGCAGAGCTCCCCATGGTGCCATGCTCTAGTCACTCTTGTGCGGGAGAACAGAGCTCCTTCAGCGGCAATGCCGCTGAGCTTCCCTGTAAACACGCACACACGTTCTGATGTGAATATAATGTAAGGGCATAAGCACTCTTACAGCAGTGTAGCAACAACAAAATGCAAGAAAAATGAAAAAAAAAAGAGGTTAAGCAGCTTGCAGACTGTGGCAATCTTGTTGTTTGTGAGCTTTAATCATTGATTTTTGCTTCGTTAATTTGGCAGTATTGGACATAGTAACTAGCGTTCTGATCCAACAAGTATTTGGGAAAGAGCCCCCCGATGAAAATCCATCAGATGAGTGAATGTTGGAGAATGACCTGTGCACAGTTACTCAGCTTCTGAACTGAAAGTACTAAAGCATGAACTGACGATTATGATCTCTTCCTTTACTGTTTTTGGCTCACAATGTTAATTAAAATGGAGAACTCCAGATAGGAAGAATAATTTACCCACAGAAGAACCTGCGTATATGTTAATTTTCTTTTTAAGTTGATAGTACACCACAGGTAACTTACATTGGAAAGAATAGAAAGTGTTCCTGAAACCAACAAGGAGGGATGAGGTAGTACAGTTTCATAGGCTTTGTTGCATAGAAATGGCTGGCTAACTGCTTGTTCTAAATAGGAAAGCATAACTGTCAGGCTGTTGGTTTATCTGGCATCTCGGCAGACACATCAGCTAGTCTCAGAATGTTTTCCATCCAGATTTGTTTTAGAAACTGTAGAGTTTTGTAGGCTTAGCCCCATGCTGAACATGCCACTGGCCTTGTGGAGAGCTGGGATCTGAATCCGTTCTTTTTCCTTTGTCTTTTCCTCTGTCTTTTTTATGTTTTTAATTTTTTCTCCTCATTTCTCCTTTCCAGACGTGAGACATCTCCATGGACACGTCATTGTGACAGTGAAGGTGCTCCAAAGAGACACTGTGACTCTGCTTCTCTCAGCCACTGTCAAAAGCTGTGTGCAGATCTGAAAGTGCGACAGGGATCAATGGGAATCCAATGTGGACAAAAAGGTACCCTGGTTAAATTCAAAGTGAGTTTCATAAACTGATTTTAGAAACTGTTTTTCTTTTAAAACATATCTTTCAAACAAGATCACAGTTTTGAATTTGCAGTAATGACATCACGAAAGATAGAACTGCAGCCAATATTTCTGATAGGGAAAATATATATATAAATGGTAAATTTATACTACCCTGACAGAAGAAGGCTTCTCAAGTGCAGAGTTTGGATTAACAGTAACTGACAGAAAAAATGACTTTTTAACGCACAGATTTTAAGATCACCTTATGGGAAAAGATGATACTAAAACCCATGGCAATCATGCATAGATTACTTCTGAAACTTGCATGTATTCCCAGTAAGTCCTCTCTAGATTCCATTTACCCTTTTTCTACTAAGCTTCCTATCTGTATATGCCCCAGTAGAAAGAAATCTTCTAGACATTTACTGGCACAACTTTCTAATTAGGTTTATTGATAATTAATCTGGATAAATCCATGTGCAAAAACATCTCATTATCATTCTTTTAAAGCATGATATAGGGTGTTTGTTTATAGATATTTTTCCATTTCATGTTTTCTGCTCTGTGCATGCTATAGTGAGACTGTGGGTATAGCTTCGTTAAATTTTCAAGTCAGTCTGTGCTTTAAAGAAATTAGTGCTTGATATATATGGCTGCATTGATGCTGACATTTGCCATTTGTACATGAAGATGTTATGACTGTAAGAAATATTTTTACACAAATATTTTTGTTTACAATGGCACAATTTTTATCATTTCTGTGTCTTTTTTTTTTTCCTAGTTACTTTCCGATTCTTGTCCAAGCACACTGCTCAGTGGCAGGAGGAATAACATATAGCTTGCAGACCATCATCTGCATTCTCTTTGCATTAGGTGTAACACTGGCATGAAAATCAGAGCCCTTGCTCCAATTTTTCCAGCTGTCTCTGTCTCCCTGTGATCTTTTTGTACAAATCTTCTGGCAAATCTTTGAATATGCAAGCTTATGTCCCTTTCTTGAGAGTACGCGTGTCTCAAAACATGGGTACAATTGAACAGAATCTTCATTTATTTATTTCCAGTACTTCAAGTGTGTTTAGTGATCTAAGCAAGTACTTAAAACATGTATCTTCCTCCTGTGTCCTCTTGTTCCCAGATTTCTGTGTTTGTCTGGTTTGTTTTCATTCAAAATGTATGAACAAAGCGGTATCAGGATCTTTCCACTGCCATCTTCAGGTCTTTATTTATAGAGTGCTTTCACAGCTTCAGGAATTGTTAACTTTTGGGCAATAAATGTCATCTTACTTCTGAGGTTACATTTGTTTTATTTTTCTTAGCAATATTATTGCTTGAAAACTGTAATATGTTTTCTATTTTGGTCTTTTTCTGTTGCCCCGAGGGACTTGAGCTATTACTAGGATTTGCATTGGCCATGGTGCTGTTCTTACTCTGCACATGGTTACGGGTAGACAGGCGGGAGTGCCAGGGCCAAACATGGTATTCTATTGGAAGAGCTCGTGCCAAGATTCAGGCTTGAACAATTTGGAGGAGACATGATGTCACTGTCTCCATAAAGTGAATTTGGACAGGAACAGCGCATTGTATTTTGGGTACGTGTTTCAAAAATAACAATGAAAATAACATCTTGTATGTTTCCTTAATTTCTGCATTTAGTCTCTGGTTTCACAGTCCTTGCTCTGCATTTCTTGTGTCCTAGTAATATTTCTGTTTCATTATTTTTCAAGCAGAGTTTGATGACACCGATTTAGCAGTTTCTCACAGTTCACTGCCTCAGTTTTCATCAAATTATACTTCTAGTTATACTAGACACCTTCATCATCAATTTCCATATGCCTCAAAGACATGCAGGGGCCAGTTTGCCAACGCTGAACTCAAATGCTAGACAATAACTGGAATAGAGGATTTTTTTCCTGGGGCGTCTGAGTGTAGAATCCAACAGCACAGGATCTTTCAGCAGTGAACAAGCAGTTTCAGCCTGTACGCATTCAAAATCTAGACAATAGTTGCTATGCAATATTGATTTTATAACATCAAATCAAGTGACAAAAATGGTCATTCATCAGAGATTATGCCTTAAGATCTTATCTGTTTCTTTCCAGAAACCTATCTTACACCAAACAGACCTGTGTGTGAATTCAAGCTTCGCTCTTTCACCATAGAATTTGGGCTTCATAAGCATCCTGTGTATCACAGAATTTGATTATTAGGGTAGTTAACACATAATGAAGACTTTGGCTTCAGGCTCTAGGTTTCCATGTGCTTTCGGATCAACAGTGTTGTTGTGGACATTCAAAGCGACGAGACTCCTGAAAACATGAAAATTTTTTCCTTCCTTTAGGAAGTCTTGTTCTTAGCTGCATGCTCAAAACGAAAAAGATCTTCATATTGGAAGTGCCTGTCCCCTTCTAAGGCTTTTCACTATAATTATCCTACAATTCCCTACAATTTTCTATAAAGGGAACATACTCCTGGCCCAAAAGTAATTTGGAGTCCATAAACTGGAACTAGAATTAAGTGTGCTGGAGATTATGGTTGTAACTTCTGTCAAAAATGTAAGTTAATTATGCAAGGCATGAAGTGAAGCTGTGGTGTTTATTTGTTTGGATGTAAAGAAGTTAACTGTGAGTAACTGTTGACAAAAGTCATCAGCAACAGCTGAATTAGCAGTTGGATCTGTAGTTTTAAAAAGAAAAATTCAAGATAGCCTAGGAGTGATATTCTCTTTTCAGCATCGCCATGTAGACTTCTTAATTTGTGCTGTGAGCTGAGGTCTGTTTCAGTTTTGCAATTTGCTTTCCATGTGGAATTTTGACTGATGTTGAGAATTTCATAGGTAGCTTTCAGTGCAATGGGGACCTTCTCTCAGGAACAGAATTATTTTTCTCCATCTACAGAGTTTCTACTCATCTGTAGAATGATCTGTAGATCTGTAATTTGCAGTGTGCACTTCATGTGATAGAAACCCACTTCACTACACATTGTCTCTGAAATCAGAAGGACATGAGTAGAGGGAGGGTGTAGTTAGGAAGCTTCCTGATATTGCCTTGACTACTCAGAACTCCTGGGTATGAAGTTCATCTTACATCTCTGACCAGAAATGTACTGTGGACAGTCTGCCACAGGATGAAGCAATGTGTGTGATGAAAAGGGACAGCGGTTGTTGAGTAAGCGAAAGTTCAAGCAGAAGAGAGGTTCATAATTCTCTCTGCTGTAGTAGTGAATGCTTGTTTCCTGCCAGAACCTGAGGTTTGGGAATTATTTGGTACAATGGGATTTGAGTGGCTGAACTGCAGTAGGAATAAACTGAAGACTTTCTGATGCGTTGGCCTGGGCTGAATACATTGTAGACCAATTAGCTGATAAAAAGATCACTTGAGAAAAAGTCATCTACCTTCTCCTAAACAGGCAAATCAATACCCAACAAATAGGATGTTTGACCACCTCACATTACTTTCCTTATTCACTGCCACAGCTTGTTGACCAGAAGGTGAACACCAAAATCTTTTCCTTGTAGCGTGTCCTGAGCCTTCACTATCTGGGAGCAAACCTAACTGTTCCCGCAGTAATATCTTTGTAATAACTGCCATGCATCAAACACTACTTGCATCTTTATGTACATACAAAGCTGAAGTCACTGCCTGCTCTGTTATGAAGGAATAAATCACCCAGACATCCTTCTCAATTTTGAAAAATTTCAGCTCCCCCCAAAACTTAATAGGAATGGTTTCTTCTCTAGCTACCTTGACTAGCAGTTAGACTGGGAGATTTTAGAAGGGCAAATGATTCACCTACAGCTTTTTTGCATCAGTTTTTATTTCTACAGAGAGCAAGTAGGAAAGTTCCAATCAAATATTTAATTTAATTTAATAGGGGCAAGGCGGCAGACAACCATTATCCTGTGACAATGTTCTGGTCCATCGAATATAAAAAGAATGCCCAGAGGACAACTGATGATATTTCCTTCAGTAGTCTTACTTGATGCTCTCTCAGCATTATAATGATGTGTTCCTCTCTGTCTGCAGATTTCTGACAGAAGGCTTCAGTTATACTTCCTTAAGAGAATTGTCCTTTTTCTGAAAAAGCTGGGGCGCTTCTGTGGAGGGGCCATGGTTTCTTCCTCAGGATGTAGTGTTTGCTGGAGTGCTGAACAGGTTAGTGTACGGGCCCATATAGTGAGAGAAAAAGTCAGATAAAAAAATGGTAACAGCAGAGCCTACAAAAATCTAAAGCCAAGGAGTATTGTATTTTTTTTAATTTTTTTTTTAGGGTTTAATTTTTTGCTAGTTCTATTCTTTGATTTTCTACGTGAAAGCAACTCCAAGTGATACAAGAACAATGTGTATCTTCAAAGTTCGAATCCCGGTTTTGTTTGCTTGGTTTGGTTTTATATCGGGTACTGTGTTCTCCTGTTGGATGCCTGGTGTTGGGCAGCAGGCACACCAAATACTTGATGACTTTCAGGCTACAAATGGAGGAGGAGAGCAATAGAGAACTGTTCATCTATCCAGCTACATTGTGCAAATTTGAGATGTAGTATTTGTTCGGTGGGGCATAAAGGCTAAGCTAACATGCTGTTCTCCAGTTGTCTTCTGTTCTGTAGTTACTGGAGAATTGTTGCTTCAATGAGGGGAACGAGCCCGTTAAAAATCCAATTTTTGGCAGAATCGCTGTGGCATGTGGTGAAATACGCTCAGTCTAGTGACTTCAGCATAGGCTGCCACCAGTGGATGCCCACTGGATCAATTTCTGCTTTCTTAAAATATGTATTGTCTAGCGCTGTAGGTAATTTACTAGTGCACCACCATGCCCCAGTCTCTGAAAGCTGGAACTGAGTTCTCTCTGCAATACAAATGAGAACCCTCATTGTTGTTGTCTTAAACTGGCCAAAAATCCAGGTAATGCACGTACTGAAACCAAACCAAACAGAAAAGAAAAAAAAAGGCAAGACCAAACAAACAAAAAGGTTGCAAAAAAAACCCCTCTGATACTGTGTCCAGACTCAGAGATAATGTGGATCAGTGGCCTTTTTCTGAAACCATAACATAGTGTGCGTCCCTCTTGCTCCTGCACTGCTGACTGGAGTGCCCCGTGTTATCGTAGTGAAAGCTTTCAAGAGACTGTTTTGAACTGGGCTGGGGAAACTGAACTGCTTTAAAAGCTTATTTGGAAGGAGGCTTTTTTGAAAACATTTTTTTTTCTTATGTGGTTTGTGTCTTTAAAGAATGGGAGCAAAAATAAATGGTAAAGGAGTGGAGGAGTTGTGGAAACAGTCGCGAAGTAGCACTGTCAATCATTTTATACTGTGAAACACGGGCTTGTAATCAGCTCTTGCTTCCTTGGGTCAGATGTTGGAATATTCTTGAGATACCTTACTTTGTGAGTAGCTTCAACACATGATATGCAGCAAACCATGGAGCACAGTAAGGCAGCACATGATAGAGTACATCCTAACCAGGGTAGGATCTCGGTCAGGCTAATACTGCAATCATAGACCGATGTCACGATGTGCAGTTGGAAAGTTGTGTGTGTGTGTTTTTTTTTTTATCTTTTCTATGTAAAAGATTAAAAGGTGTCCACAGATATTTAGGGAAGGTTTGTCCAAAAGTGAAAATCAAAGTGAGACAGGCTGAACTGTTCACTCTGAACTGCTGTGTGTGTATCTCAAAAGTTTATAGTTTTTTTCTTGTGCTTGGCAGAAACTGGAGATGATAATACCTATGAAAGTACTATCAGAGATTGCAGGATAGGTTTTGGAGAATCTGTATGCTTTTCATGACACTGTAGTATTTCATAATTTTTAACATGCATCAGCTGCATTTGTGCATTTGATGATGCTTGCCTTGGATTTGTAAAAGTGCAAGAACAAAATCCAGAACAAACTGAACGTGACTGCAGTTTCATGTATAATACACACTTGAAACGTTATGAATAGGAAGTATTAACGTAAACAAAAGCTGCTTGTTCACTATTTTGAGTTTCACCCAACTAGAAAAATCAGTCCTGTGACACAATAAACAGCTTCTTTACTTTTTAATTTTCCAAATTTCTTTGAGATCCTCTTGTCAAGTGTGTATTTATTAGTAAGTCCATGTTCCAGCCACAATAAAGACATTTTCTTTTTCTGTACTTACATACTTGCATTTTGAGGCTGCTCTTTTGAACTAGAAAGGAAAGGCAGCAAAATAGAACTCTTTTCCTCAGAAAAGCCTGTAATCAATTTAAGGAAACAATTTTTCCCTCTTGTAGCAACTCCAGGGACAATGCACTTCTAAAAGTGGGTAGTTTGGAACACACAGTGTTCTTGGGGAAACTGAAAACAAGCAGTTTGTTAAAAGGAAGAATTTCGTTATGTGCTCTTGTCAGAAAATGTTTCTGAGTTTGTGGAGTCGCTTATTAGAAACAGTGCTCCCAGTGACTGTGTTACAGCTGAACGTGCAGGATCGTGAAAAAGATGTGATCTTAGAATCAGGACCCACACTTGATTCATGGTGGCAAAAGCCAAGTGAGGCTAACTTTGAAGCCATACACTTTATTTTATGTAAGGACTAGTAAATTAGGTAAATGCTTATTTCAGTACGAGGACACCGAGACGCTGGGGTAATGTGTCTGAGCTGTCTCTGACTGTACAAGCTATCAGAGAGGAGGTCTTTGAGCTTTCAGTCACCTTACCCATACTTCCTCCTCATTCTTCCTTCTGTGCCAGAAGCTCACATTTGTAGTGCTGAGGGCTCTGGATGCGGTAGGAAGGCAAACACAGGAAAAGTCCTGCTGCTGCAGCTGCGGAGAAGGGGTACAGCCGGTTCTGTACAGAACCCGCTCACCCTCACTCCCCATATTTTTATATTGAAGCAGGCAGTGGCACCAATGAAGCTATCCTGTCCCCTTTGTGTCCTCAGTTGCTCATCCTGCCCCCTGCCTCGTTGCAGCACAAGCGTGTGTGCAGTCGTGAGGTGAAGGGGTTGCGGAGACGGACCGGTGAGGAAATGGGCTGCGTTTCCCTAGCGCTGATCCCCGTCCCAGGTGGGGTTCCTTGTCCTTGCACAAGGGCTCATGCAGGGACAGAAGGTGGCTGAGCGCTGGATGGCTTATTTTCCAGCAGCGTCAGGGGCAGGCAGTTAAATATATTTGTGAAACTATGGCCGCAGCCTCCATGCCAGGCAAAGATTCCCTGAAAACATCGCTTCAGTTTGGTGAGGAGGATGAGTAACTGTGGGCCGTTTTGTCTGAAACAGGAGAGGAGGAATTTTCCTTTGCTGGTTCACAGTGTTTACTTCTATTAAAAGGGAAAATGGCAATAGAAGATCAGAAAAATCTGATGTCAAATTGGAAAAAAAAAACAAAAAACAAAAAACCCATGCAATGTATTTTTTTTTTCCAGGCTGATTTTTTGTAGTTTGCTGTGCTTCTAGAGGGGACCATCCATCCTAGTGGGTTTCCGTCTGACAATACCCTGGACCCTTCTCATTGTTTTCAGCAACAAAGGAAAACCTGCCGAGTTGCCATGCATATCCAAAGGTTGGTCAGAGTCAAAATTATTTATTTAGAATACGTAGGGCACAGCGTGCTTTGAGCAGCCTGCTAGGAGCTTTCATTTTTTTTTTCCTGTCAGCTCCTTTTGGCTGTTTTTTCCTTGCACTCTAGCTGTGTGGAAGTCTCCCTTCCCATTTGTTTCTGGGAAGTGGGAACCCCAACACGGCTCCTCTCCACTTCTTCACTTTGTCCCTGTTGCGGCTCTTGACACAAAACGTGGATTTTGAAAGGAAAAAAAAAGGAAACAAAAAACCAACAGCAGAAAACCCCTGCTTACCCTCATCCCAAAGGGCACCGCTGCTGTGCGCTGCTTTTTCCCTCCCGGCGGCCGAGGTTGGCTCAGCCACCGCAGGAGCCGGCTGCGGGGAGGCGCTGCCCGCCCGGAGCCCCGCGGGGGGGCTGTGGGGCCGCCCCCCCTCACCCCTACATCGCCCCCCGGCCCCCCTCTGCCGGGCTTGGGGCTGGGGTCGAGCCCCGGGGCTGCGGCTCCGCGCCCTGCCCCCGGCCCGGCCGCTGCTCGGGACGGCCTGTGCGGCCGGGCTGGGCGGGGGGAGGCTGTGCCGCACTTGGGCAATGAAATGCAGCAGCGATTCCTCCCTCCCTCCCTCCCTGCCCGGGGGGGTGAAGTGCAAGGCGGCGGGAGGAGCCGTGCCGTGTGTGTGTGTGTGGTGTGCGTGCGAGTGGCGCTCCGTGGCCGCCGTGTTTCCTGGTGCCTGCTCCCTGACCCCAGTGGCAGCCCCGCTCACTGCACCGCGCCCGGCCCCGCTCCCGGCCTCAGCCCCGGCCTCGGGCAGCGCCAAGGGCTCTGCCCCCGGCTCTGCCCCCGCCGCCCCATGGAGCGGCCCCGCCGCCCGCGCTGAGGCGGCCCCGGCCCGCAGGGAAAAGGTGAGTGTGTGGGGGGGCTCGGAGGCACAAAGCGGCGGGTTACAAAGCGGCGGGTTACAAAGCGGCGGGGCCGTGCCACCGGCGGCTGCGGGGGGGCGGCTGCAGCCTCCTGCACACAATGACCGGGGCGAGCCCGGCGTGACCGCCCCCGAGCCGGGTCGGGTCGGGTCGGGGCGAGCCGGGGGTGCGCGGCGGCGCTGAACCGGCCCTGCCCTGCCCTGCCCTGCCCTGCCCGGGCCGTGCCCCCGCTGCCCTCCGCAACCGGGGCGGGCAGCGGCCTGGCGGCGGGGCCGGGGGCACGGAGGGGAGGGGAGGCGAGGGGAGGCCAGGCCGAGCCCAGCCGGCAGCCGGCAGCCGGCCCCCCCCCGGTGTCCCCGTCCCCCTCCCCAGGCGGTGCAGCCCGGCTGTACGGAGGGGGGGGAGGCACGCACACACACACACACACACACACACACACACACACACACAGCGGGGCTGCGCTGCAAACTTTGCTCGCAGGAGCCGGCGCGGAGCGGAGCCGCGGGGATGGCGAGGCGGGGGCAGGGCAGGGCAGGGCAGAGCCGGGCTGGGGGCGCGGGGCGGGGGCTGCGGCACACGCCGGGACGGGGCCGCGCCGGAGCCATTGGCCGCCCGCAGCCATCAATCAGCGGGGGGCGAGCCCGGAGCCCCCGCGGGGCCGCGGCCGGGGCGGCCCCGGGAGCCCCAAGCGGCGGCCGGAGGTGGGGAGCGGCCGGGGCCCGGCGGAGGGCGGGGGGCGAAGCGGGGCCGGCCCCCCGGGCTGGGGAGGGGGGAGGAGAAGGGGAGAGAAGGCGCGGCCCCCGCTGCCGTGCCCGGGCGGCCGGGCTGGAGCCCGGAGTTGGGCGCTAAGTGCGGCGCGGGGCCGGCCGGGGAGCCGCGGGAGCGCCGCCGGGGCGAGCGGTAACGAGGGGGGGCTGGGGCTGGGGCTGGGGCTGGAGCCGCGGCTGTGCCGGCAGCCGGGGGGGCCGGGGAGGCATCGATCTGGCAGCCGAGGGGGGTGCGGTGCTCGCAGTGTGCGCGTCCATGGCTGTGCGCAGAGCCTGCGCGGGTATTTGGCCCCGAGATGCAGCCCTCCGCTCCGAGCGGGGCAGATATCATTGCCTTTCGGTCCCGCTAGCCCGCTGTGAAATGAGCTGCCCCTAAGTTTGTGCCGGCCCTTTTATGGGAAAATAGGCTTGCAGCAGTTTGCACCTCGAAAAGCCAGCGGATTTATACAATAGCGCATCTCGCTGTCAGCCCAAACCCACGCTGGAAAATGATTGTTTCAGCCAGGGTAAGCTGTACGAGGGGAGCCGCAGCGTGCTGCGATTGTTTATCTGGGGTTTCAGGCCGGTTCTTCGTAATCCAGCGTTAGCATAGCAAGTGTGTAAAATTGTTTCGCTTGACAGATGCGAGAAATAATGCAACTTCTATTCTTTGCTACTCGTCTCTTGCATGTAATCGTCGAAGAGTGATTGCCTTTGGAGAAAGAATGGTAGCGATGCAAAGTAGCCTTTTTTGTTTGTTTGTTTGTTTTTAAAACCCTGGGCCTAAAATATGTTTAGTTTTAAAGTTGAGAAACATTCAGGTCCTTTTTGATATTTTCTTCAGAGAGCTCATTAAAGAAGGTATTAATTAGGCACTTCTGCTAGGTGGGCTGTAGTACGAAATAGTGCACTACAGGGAATTTAGAGAATTGACACAGAAGTCATCTACTTTTTTTTCCAGTCCAGCGTTTGTTGTTGAATTTCATTTTAAAAAGATGCTTTGCTTGGCTTTGTCTTGATTCTAGTAGGGAGGTTTATTCTCAAGATTAAAGACTGGCATAGTGGGAAGCAACTGTAGCTTATATGCTTAAAATCATACAAAAGTCAACTTTAAAGTATTTAATAGAGCTATTCGAATATCCTCTTATCATTTGTTTTATGCCGGTTGTGGTAATTTCTTTCTGTAACACAAAGGTTATAAACCTTGTAAAAACGCTTATTGTCTTTATGTATGATTCACTCTTACAAACAAATTGGATTTCTTTTTTCCCAATGAGTGAACTATAATGTAAAACTTAATGCTCTGACCTTTCTTACGCTAGATTACTGAAAATAGTGTGATATAGCTTCTCTGAAAGTCCAGGCATATTTTTCTTGTTGCTTTAACATGTTATTCTATATAGTAGCTTTTAATTGCAGAAATATAACATGGATGCGTAATTTTCATACCACTTAATTTATGCAAACGCTGAAGTTCTTGCTGCGTAAAAGAAAAACTTAGTTTTTTTTCCTGGGAGCTTTGATGGCGAGCATTCTTGTTAATGACAGTCATTTCTCCAACAGGAAGATGTTTTCATTTGTATTTACTTTTCAGTGCAGGGCAATTATGCTGTTCTGTGTTGCACACTCCTCGTAGTTTGTATCTCAAAAGAATTACAGTGCTTGGAACAGGACTGCAATTTGAAGCAGGTGTTGTGTTTTACTGTTATGCAAAATAACACTGAAATATAATTGTAAGGGAAATTAAGGAAACAGCTGCAAACCTGGTATGGTAACCACCACATTACGATTCGGAAGCAGTTGTTGCAGATATCTTAAAACACAGCCGAGATTTAGTTTAATAAAGCTCACCTTGCTGATTTTTTTCCCCCTGAAACTATTGTGCTTGGTTTTAGGAGAGTGGGTTAGTGCAAAGGCCAGACCACAAACCTTAGTTACTGAAATGGACTGGCTCAGCAATGGCTCGGTTTTTAAATGGGAACTTCATGGCTGAGTTTCATCTTGCGTTAAAAAAAAAAAATAATAAAGAAGATGAGGAATAGAACCCAATTACTGGAATGAAGGTTGCCGAATGTCTTAACCCAGCTAACATATGGAAGCCTACGTAGGCCTGAGGTTGTAAAATAATAAAATAAATGGCCTATAGCAGGCCATCTGCCATTTGCAGGGCATTTTTATTGTACTTCATGCCAAACTGGAAATTAGTCTTTGTATTAAAAATATATTTTGAATACAAATCAAAGATTCCAAATGTTTAATGCTACACATGGCAAACACATTTCGGTCTGGGAGCTAAGAGAAGTCCAGGAATATCACACTGGAAAAACATTGCTTAGTTTGATGCCCAGGGATCAAATCATCCTCTTTTTCTTATCTCTTTGTCTTTCCAGCAAGTGCTGGCTTAGTTTTATAAAGTACGCGCTAGATATAAAAATGTTGCTATTGTGTGAAGCAACTCAAGAGCAGACCAAGTGATACGGGGTGTGATAATTTCACTGAAGTCGTGGCAGCGATGGTAGCGTGCAGCAGCAGCTGAGGGTCTACCTCATGAGCAATGCTTTTAAAGAGTTGCTCATCTTGAAAGTATTCTTCAAATACAAGCAGATCAATTTTCACAAAGTCCTTCCGAAGGCAGGCAGCTGAGGTAACCTTAGTTTATCGATTCAAGAAATTGAGACTCAAATTGTGTGTGGGGAACTCGTCAGAGATCAGATTTGGGAAGTTGCTGGCTCTTCAGCTTATCCTTTTATTATAGAAGGCTTCCAGCCGTAGTGCAAAAGTATATTTAAGAGCACCTGGAAGAAGTGAAAGATCAGGATGCCTATAGAGGCAAAAACCTTTCTTTCATCGTATGCAGAAATAGTTGTGCATGAAATTGCTCTGAAATTTACCGGACAAATGATTTCTGTCTGATGATGAATCCAAACCGGTTTCATTGCTAGTGGACTGTAACATGGTCATTCTGTTGGTGTTGCCTAGATTTTAGCCTTGCTGCAGGCAGATAAATACATGGATGCAAAGGTATTTGAATGCACCTTTTGCTGTGCAACTGTAGATTTTTCTGCCTTGAGTCGGCTTCCCCAAAGTCCGTCAGATGTAACTCATTTTGTAAAGCTAAAACAGGGCCTTGAAAACAAGTATGTGCATTTGCGGAAAGCCATTTGTCCTTCAGGAAACTAGGTCCACTTGTTAATTTTCATGGTTGCAATTAGCACAAGATGTTACTTAAAATAAAGGATAGTAAATATGGAGTACTTAACTGGGGCTTTCCACACAGATAGATTTCTAGTAAATAAAGCCTTATTTTAAGTATTTTTTTTTTAATCTATGTAATAGTGACGGAGTTAAACGATGAAGTGGTGAATACAGTAGTGAATAGTAATGCATAGTGTTGGGTGATGTGTACATAAAAATAAAGAAAAAAAAACCTCTGGAAATGGGGAGAGGACAGAGTAATGGCTGTGCCTGCTTATGTCTCCTTCAAGGTTTTAGCAGTATGCGCTGTTCTCTCCTCACAGAGGTCTGCGGCGTTGATGAGGAGCTGCTGGGATTCGGGAGCTGCCGGGAACACAATGCCCTGCCCCGCTCTTGGCCTTGGGAAGCTGTGAATTGCTCATGTCCATAAGGAGGAAGGATGGCTCATGGAATTCCTTCACAAGGCAAAGTTACCATAACGGTGGATGAGTACAGCTCCAACCCAACGCAGGCGTTTACACACTACAACATTAATCAGAGCAGGTTCCAGCCTCCACATGTGCATATGTAAGTATTACTAACATTGCCTCTGCGTGTGTGTGTGTGTGTGTGTGCGTGCTTAAATGGAGAACTGCTGCTGAAGGAGTGGGCTGAAAACTAGAAAAATTGGTTAGTCACGTCAGCTCATAGGCAAAATGGCTATCGGCTTTCCACATAGCGTGCGGGAGAAGTACTGCTCCATCAGCTCCTGGAGGAAAGCTGTGCCCCGACTTC